AGACAGGCTCAAAAAATGCACAGTGTGAACAGGGCAGCCTGCTAACAGCTTGGGCACAGGGGAGCCTTGTGGAGGCTGAACCCCACCAGCCCCGCCCGAGAGCGGGCAGCCTGCCAGCAGGGTGGGCCCGTGGCAGAATGGGAAGAGCCTGCAGGACCAGATAGGAAAGCCCCAGGGAGAGGAGAGAGAGGCGATTAAAATGCTAGACAGGGAAAATCAAAACAACTTTTGAAGCGCGAAAGGCGGATTTCTAAATAGCTGATTGAATCTGCCAAGTCAGTTGAAATTCGGCAGATGCCGAAGAGGGGGGGCCTGTGCTCTGGGGGAGGGTAGCATCATTGCTCAATGGGCCGCTAAGTCGCAGTCTTGAATGTCACCAGGAGCTGTAGCTGGTGCTGTCCGCCTGGCTGGCACAACGGGGCCGCCCTGTTTATGGGCTGAGAACCCTGGAGGGAGGCTGTCAGGCCGGGCTCCCACAGTGGGCCGAGGTGTGAATCTGCAGCAGCCCGCGTGCCAGCTCGGCCTGTGGCACCCAAGGAAAGGCTGGCGTCTGAAGCTGTGAACTGTGTGTGTCCTCCTTATGCAAACCCCCATTAGTCACGCCCTGATGGGCCCTTTCCTCCCCAGCAGCTTCACTTCCAAACGCAGAGGCAGCCCTGGCGATACAGGCTCCCTGTCACGCCGCCTCTCCCAGCCCCTCCTTCAGCAGGCGGTCTGTGGGGGATTCACATGTGGTCACTGCTGCGTCCTGACTGATGGCCCGTGGAGGGGCCTGCGCCGGTGTGTGCACCTAAGAATACCCACAGTCGCACCGGCTTTCTCAGAGACCTTTTCCACCCCACCATGGGCAAGCCCAAGGGCTCTCTTCAGATTCGCCAGGCCCAGTGATGAGAGCAGACGCAGAGAGAGCATCTTAAGAATAGGCAGAAACCATGTGTGGTGGCTTGTCTCTCTTACTGAGTTCTTTCAACTGTGGCATCCCTGTCCTCATTAATCTCTTCCTCTGGGTATTAATTGCATGCAGTATTTGTAATTATGAGATTATGAGATTTGAGATCAGCAGTCAGTTATGCACCATTTTCCAAGGGCTAGAAAATACAAAATGGCAAAAATGAAAAATGGGTTCTACATACATCTGGCCATGACTGTGCTTTTATTTACCTTTAAAAGGGGAGAGACAAAAGGAATATAAAATCTGAAAAAAGAAGAATTTCTACAAGCAGTGGATTTATTATGTTTTGCTGTAACACAATAAAACATGAATTGTGCTTTGCAGTAGAGAGATGGGCACCAGGGAGAGCAGTCATTTTATGTTTATTCGCTAATTCTGGGTCTTTACTGATCACATAGCTGTGTAGGTGGATTGGAAACATTGGTCTAATGTAATTATAATGCCGTTAATGTAATTAATAGTTTAGGGGGTATTTTTTAGAAGGGCATGCCTGATATGGTAATAATGATGGTAATTGTTAAGAACTTTTATATAACATGGACTAAACTGTAGTGACTTGAAATGCTAAAATTGTATTTAAAGAAGAACTACATTTGAAGGATAACATGTAATTTTTATACATTACTGCAATGCTAACTATGAGTCAATTTTCTTTTAATTGTTGGGACACACTCTGTGTGTTAGTCTGGGTAGACTAGAGAAACAAATTCATAGACACTCATATGTATAAGAAAGAGCTTTATATACAAGAGCAATTGAATATTGAGAAAACATCCAAGCCCAGTCCAGATCAAGTCCATAAGTCTGTTATTAGCCTGTATGTCTGTCTGATACCAATCTATAAAGTCCTCTTCAGACTCACGAAACACATGGATTGATGCTGAATGCAGGGAGATCATAGGCCAGTGGGTGTGAAGTCTTGTGGACCTAGTGGCATTGTAAGCATCTCAGTGCTGGCAGGGGTCTCCCTTTGGCTTCTCCAGCCCCAGGGCATAGGCTCTATCAGCGTAGTGCCATGTATCTTGTCAGTAGGGTGTCTCTCAAGGAGTGAACAGAGAGAGTGCCTCCCGTCTCCAAGGAGAAAATACTAGAGTTCCCAGAATTCTTAGGAGAAGGCCATGCCCACACAGAGCCCTCATTGGCTATGATCCGATTGACAGAGTAGACTCCACCCCTTCACTCTTAATCCTTTCAAGTCCCAAATTGACGCCAGATTATGTAACTACCACACTCTGTTAATGACTTTCCTGACTGGATATAGGTTGGTTAGTTGTCTATCTTCCATCTTTACTTCTCTTTAAAAAACAAAACAAAAAAGGTCAAGGAAGAAGTCAGGAATAGAAAGCACCTTCTATCTCTTGCTGGGGGTTTCAAAGTACTAGCCTTGTGGATTGAAGCTTAACATGTAACTACTCCACCACAAGGGTTCCTGTGTACAACCAAATTTCTCAGTCAGGTCATACTGAGCCCTTAGCAAAGTTCAAAATGTGATGGTACCTCGGCACACAGTAGGCATTCAAGAAATATCCGTTGATTCCCCCCCCCCCAGCTTACAACAAACATTTCTTTTTCTCCCATGTAAATTTTAACCAAGTCAGACACTCATCCTTGACATCTCTGCTCAACAGGTGGGATTCGGGTCATGTCTCCATTACACCACTGCTGCTTCTGAATTGTTGGTTCCAGCAGTTGGACGAATGAGCGATCACAAGACCCACACCTGCCCCAAAGTGCCTGAAGCAGAGCTGTCAGCACGCCCACTCTCCTTAAACACACACACACACACACACACACACACACACACGACAGTGAAAACAGTGCCGCAGGAAGTCTCCCTGTCTGCTTGGGAAGAGGGTGTGGCAGTGTGGAGGCAGACAGTCTCTGTCACACCTGGCAGGTGGATCGGCAGGAGACGGGCCACTCTGTTCTCAAACGAATGTGAAAATCTCCCCTGTGTTCCTAGATGCAGCTCCTTTTTCATTCCAAGTATTTAAAAATGTTACCACCTCTGAAATGTTTTCATAGCCAATCTTTCTAACACTTGTCTACATTTGTGTATTCGTTCAACCAACTATTGGTTTTGTTAACCATCTACATATTTCTTCCGAAACCGGTGATGTTATATGTTTTTGTGTGTGTATCAACAAATCTCTCTATAACTCATATACCCCCAGCTTGAGCTTTTCCTAATTATAATGCACTCATGTCCACATGTCTAAAGGCGTACTCGTGGTGTAGTGAGTTCCACATTGAGCTACTAATTATAAGGTCAGTGGTTTGAACTCACTGCTCTGATTGAATAGATGCGTGCTCCTGTAGAGACATAAAGTCTCAGACACCCTAGGGGCAGTTCAAGTCTGTGATATCGGGTCCCTAGGCGTCTGGATTGATTCAGCAGTAGTGGATACACGGCTACATGGAGTGCACTGCCTAGCTTTTAAAATAACGCAAGAAGTAGGGTAGGTATGCTGCTTAATTAATGTTCTAGTCAGTAGAATCACATGACACATAGTATGTCCAGATAGCTCCTATTTCTGTGAACCTGGTTGCAATACACTTCATTTAGCACTTAAATTCACCTGGTCATATAGTTGAACCACTGACGTCTCTGAAAAGATGTGCCGATTGGGCAGAGCTGTAGGAAGGCTAGTCATCACCTGCTTCCCTTGCCTCTGCACCAGCTGTGCTCTAATAACTCGTCAGCAGCACCTATAGGAATCCCCTTGAGAGAAGGCTGGGTGCGCCGGGTGTTGCTAAGGCAGACAAAGCACCCTGTGCTCATTGCAAGTTCTGTGAAATAAAGGTCAGTTAACTCTCCTAGGTGAGAAGAACAAGTGCATGCTAAATGTGACTGAGGGATGCATACAGCCTGTCGAAAGCCTTCGTTCGAATATGGATTTACTTTTATTATGTTTTAAATGTTTGATTTTCAGAAGCATATTTGGAAACAGTCCCTGGATTATGCTATGATGAACATTTCATAAATACAGTGACCCACATATTCATATTTCTATAGACACCAAAGGAATAAGGAGCCCAGTAGTGCAGTCACGTGACATTGGACTGATAACAGCTAGGTGGAAGGTTCAAATCCACCAAGTACTCCTCAAGAGAGAGAGAGAGAGAGAGAGAGAGAGGAGGCTGTCTCCTCTCGTAAAGATTTACAGCCTCAGAAACCCTACATAGGGTCACCAAGAGTTGGAAAGCACTAATTGACCCCAAGCCCCCCCACCCCTCTAGTTGATACAAACTCATAACGACCTTGTAGGACCGGGTCGAGTTGCCTCTGAGTTTCAAGACTATAACTCCATATGGGAATAGAAAGCCTCACCTTTCTCCCTTGGAGCAGCTGGTGGTTTTGAACTGCTGACCTTCCAGGTAGCAGCCCAATACAAAGGCAGTGGATATGAACATTAATGGATTTCTGAGGTAGTGCAAACAGTGAATTTACTCAGCTATTAACCAGAAGGTTGGCAGTTCAAATCTACTCAGAGACACCTCTGGGGGTCTGCTTCTGGAAAAATCAGCCACTGAAAATCTTACGGAGCACAGTTCTACTCGGAAGCCCACTCCATGATGCCACACACTGACAATGTGACAAAGTTTCGCGACAGACTTCTGTAAACCTTGCAATGGCTGTTTCCACTGTGCAAGTAGAAAAACAGAGGCATGAAGCTTTTTCTGAGTTCCCCCAGAATCCCCACTGAGCCAACAGAGAAGGGAGCCCGAGCCTGAACCCAAGTCTGTGTTCTTTCTGAAATATGTCTTGTAGGCATCGACAAGACTGAATGCAAAGCAGGGCTGACTTGCTACACCACAGCCCTAACAAGGAGACCATTGTAGAAATATGTGCACAAATAAATGGGTCTCAAGGTCATTACCAGAATAAATTTTCATTTGCCTGATATTACTCGAGTATGCTGGTTGGCAAATAGATTGGCTGGTTGGTATTCCCAGGCCTTTCTAACAGTTATCATTTTATCCAGTGATCTACTCATGAATGGAAAAAAAAGTTAGTTTTCGCCTCCTGTCTTCCTTTCACTTACAGATTTATGCCGTTCGATCCGTGGTCCCCAACAAAAGCAACAATGAAATTGTCCTGGTGCTCCAGCAGTTTGACTTCAGTGTGGATAAAGCAGTGCAAGCCTTTGTGGATGGTAGGTACTCAATGCCCAGAACTAAAGGTTCCACATCTTTGGTAATTTCTGCCTTCAATGCATTGAATACCAATTTGTTGCTAATTTTTAATTAAGGAATTTAGTTCTCATAAGATATGCTAGGCTTTTAAAAACATGTATGTTCAATAAGAGCAGGATTTGGAAGTTATTTCAAAACTTCATTAAAAAATAATGCAGACTCTGGATTGTTTCTAAAGGATCCTCATCAGATTGCATCTAATTCTATTCCCTGTCTACCAATGATTTCATTTTGTTATTCAGCAAGCCCCTTATTTGGCAGTGTCCCTGGGAAGGTGGATAATGTTCTTCTTCCTGGACTTACCAGTCTTCCCACCCATTCAACCAGCATCATTCGGCTTGGCTTGCTGATAACAGTCTTCAAACTTGCTATTTATGTCATCTGAGCAGACAGGGTTATTTTCCCATATCCTTAGTTTGTTATCCTGGAATCGCCTAACCAATCAGAATTTCAGTTCTTCTTCTCTGCCTCTAGAATGACTTTCTGAAAAGGAAGTTTTTTTTTAAGAAAGTCCTTTATAGAATCTAAATATTTTCTCAGAAATGTGTTTATCCTATACATTTAGAACTTAAGTATATCAGATTTCCTATACATGATGGGAGAATCCTCCTTTCCAAATAACAAGTTCCAGCTATGAGCTAACATCTTTCAACTCCCTTGGTTATGATTTGCCTTCTGTCCTAATGTGAGTTTTCCATTTTGTGACTGTGGACTAGCTAAACATAATCTGACAAGTCCGAGCAGAAAAGGCCTGTCAGCACATTTCTCAGTTATATTTGAGTTGCACGTTACTTGTCAAGGATAGTGCATTTGTTTATTTTCCTAGCTGCTTAATACTCTTCTTGAGTTTCTACACATATAATTGTATTTCAGGGCAAGGACTTGGAACCAGGCATATTCTCATATCTACAATCAAGGCTCGGGCTCCTGATTGAATTAACAGACAATTACCATTCAAAACAAATCTGACAGGCAGATTCATAGAGCACAAGAGTCTCACTCTGCCCCTGCGCTTGTATCTGCCATCAAATAGAGACTCTTCCGTCATAAGAAACAAATAGCAGAAAATTCTATATTCATCTGGCTATTCTTAGGGAGGTACGATTTCTCTCAAGGAACCAGTGTTGGGAAGGAGCACAGTCTAGCTAGAAAACGCTCTTCTGCTCCTGTCCACCTGCATGGAGTGCATGGGGTTCAGGAAAGGAAAAGGGCTCTCATCCCTGGGCCTCCTGCTCCCTCTTGGTCTAGTGCCCCGTGTTTCCCAGCACACAGGGTTTTATTGAAATGACCCCGATGAGCTGCATAGCTGCACAGAAACTGATCAGACGTGTTTGTATTTCAATTTGCTTATAATCAAATTCATCTGTATTTAAATCGAGCACCTTGCTTGTCCTCCTTGAAATGTTAAAGCTGCCATTGGTGAGATAGCATGAAGAAAGCACAGTGATTGCTGAGAAGCCCCCAAATGATTCGGGGTATGGAAAAATAGGAAAGCTTGCTTAAAATCCACCAAGTGGGGGGTGGGGGTGGGGGGAGACAGTAGGAGCTCTTTACAAGGTGTGTGGAAAGCCACTAATTCCAAGGCATTCAGAAAACCCAAACAGTTTCAATATAATTAAAATTTCATAATAATGGTTTCAGAATCCTCTGTATATATGGGCATTTCTTCTTCATAATTAGCCTCTAAAAGCTCATTGTCCAAATTACAAATAGAACATGTGTCAAAATATGAAAATTAGGGGAATGATTGAATATTGTAATTGAGAAAGCAGTAAGCAACTCATGCCTTTACTCTTATTAAAAAGAACAGTTTTTAAGTTTTTCTTAATTGCATTTTATTTAAAGAGCAGAAACTAGGCTATGAGTAAGAACTACCCTAATGAGTGGTAGCCATTGGCTTAACTTACTAAGAAGCACAATGGACCCTTCCTAATGATCTTTCAAAAGGCAACTACTGAGAAACATTGGTTCTTTGGGTAAATGAGAGAAACGTCTAGCCCAGTGAGTAAAAAAAAATCTAAATTATAGTGCAATCTTATTTCAAGTACATGCAACTCAAACAAGTCTAAGAGAGTCATTGAGTTGGAACCTTTGAATAGATAGATGTAATTAGGCTGTTTAAACATTAGTCAAAGCAATATGGCCTCCTGCTTATCTAACAGTGACAGTAGATTCAATAATTGGGCCCCTACTCATTTGAAATTTGTGATAAATAAAGACCAGCCTGAAGTTTATCTGTGTTGAGCCGACGCATGCCTCGTGAAGAGCTAGTAGTATAATAAGATCATATTGGGAATGCTTACAATTGTTAAAAGGATACATTTTTAACCCCCCAACTCTCTTTCAGAAGCATCCATTTCCACTGGCATTCTGGTTATCTGCAACCTGTCATTGAAATTACTCCCAGCCCAGTTGGAATGAATGAATGAATGAATGAATGAATGAGCTTTGGTTGACGACATGGAAATATTTATTGTATCTGATCAGTGATTATGCATTTCATTTTTTAAGTGTTTCTTTCTTAGCTAGATTAGGCTCTTCCTCTGAGTCAGAGCAGTTCCACAGATGTATGTGAGAGGGGTTCAACCGCGACTAGACTTGTCATCTGATGAACTTCTTTTGTGTGGAAGCGAAAGTTTTGGAAAGTATACACGTCCCCCATCCCTCTCTGGGCTGACTAGGACACAACGAACGTCCTATAACCCCTCCTCCTGAGCACCCTCCAAAGTGTGCGTCTAATGAGTGGAGGGATACGAAGAGCAGGAGATGTCCAAGAGGAAGTCTGATTCACGTGGTTAATAACATTCAGAATCCCATGTTTGGTTCATAGGATTATAGGTATTTTTATTCATATATCAAGCAGCACAATTTTAATTCTTCCTCCAGCAGTGAAGCTATCAGAAAATTCTCAAGATAGATTTCATTTTCTCAAAGACAACAGAGTGATAAAGAAGTAAGCCCGATGTAGGGAGGCTTAATATTCTGATAAGACCAAGATCATGCTGTGAATTAAATGAAAATCTGGGAAATAAAAGGAGAAACTGGCATTTTTTTATTAAGCGAAGATATATCAAAACAAATGAAAAGCACCCCCCAACACACACACACACACACACACACACACACACACACAATTGTTGCTGATTTTGCTGCCAAGATGGAAAGACGAAGATGAATTTTGTGTGGTGTTTTATTATAGGAATATATGTTGAAGGTTCTTTGTCTTTGTTATCTAGGGAGTGCAATTCAAGTTCTGAAAGAATGGAATATGACGGGAAAAAAGAAGGTAAGATTAGTATTGATTGTAAATTGGTAACATCTTCAGTCAAAACCTTCATAGTCGTTATCATTTTAGTAAGGCTGCCAATTTTATGCTTCTTTCAAATCTGTTAGTATGTATACCCAGAAAGCTTTCAAATTCATGACTGTCTTAAATTACCAGCCACTCTTAGTATGAGAATGCCCTTGCTTTTGGCTCCGTGTTTTAACTACCAGGTGTGCTTAGGAAGCCTCAGAAGGATGAGTTGTTTTGTTTTGTTTTCTAAGTATGAAGTGAACCCTGTCAGAGAATTCAAAGGATTCAAGACATTAACTTGCCTGAGCATATCCCGACGCACAAAGGGGAAAATTAAGGAGTGTTTTAAAGACATTTGAAAAGCTCTAAATATAATCACACATGTTTTTCCAACTGAAACAATCTGTCCAAGGCTGCTCTAAGGTGCTATTTTATTGAGTTCTAAGTTAGAGCTTTAATAAAAGAAGACGAAGACTGAATGGATGAAAATGCCTTAAACCCCTATTAAGCAAGGGACTTATTTTCACTGCTTGAGAACAGGCAGGCCCTTGAGAAAAGGAAGGAAGATTTCCCTCTGCCCTGTTCAGATTTGTTTCTCTTTTTCCCTCTGGCCACAAAGAGCCGTGGCTTCGGGGCCCCTGTGGAAGGCGCCTGCGTGCATGGAGTGTGCGAGTTACTGCCCTCACGGAGTGTGCACACTCCCTCAAAGGCACGGGAGCCTCTGCTCTTGACCTGACGACCTTCTCTTTCCACTGAAACTAGCCCACCCCATCCACACGAACGTGGCAAGGCCACGTGTTGTGGGCATCCGAGGACGTAATTGCTCAGTCTCTTCTTTCCCAGGAGGATGATCACAGGCCTGAGAAACAGATTTGAACAAACAAAGGAACCATATTACTCTCATAAAATCCAGAGATTACTGAAATTGCCAGAATCATCCCTTTGTCTCCTTTTGTCTCCTCCCAGTTTCATGTAGAATAAGAAGTATGTAATGTTTTCCTCCCAAACCTTTGTAGGCCACCATCTTTGGCAATCCCTGCTTGTCTTTAATCATAGCTTCCCAGGTTTCTCCGGGAGAGGAGGGTGATTTGCAAGTGATTGGAAGGCAGTACTCACACGTACAGGGAAATGTGTCAGGTGTGCGGCGTGGGTATTAAATTTCCCTGACGTGAAGAGAGCGCAGCCGTAGACTCCCTGTTACTCAGTGTCTCTCTCAGTAGGAAACCAGTCCCCTCAGTCTAGTAGATGCTGGGTCAGGGGGTGCCAGGGACCCCATGCCATCAACCCCTTCCTGCGCATCTCCCACCCAGACCCTCACCAACTCAAGGCCCGGCTGTGATTTGAAAGGAAAAGAACTGGTGGAAACTAAAGGGAAAACAACTTGCTCTTTTCAAAACCAGGGCTGCTGTTCCATTGGCGCTCAACAGATTTCAGCCGGAGGGTCGGGGTGTGTTCTGGTGGGTATCTGTCCCTCCTGGCTGAGGCCTGTGCCACACTGATGATTGAACATATTGCCTACCACCCCCCTGACCCCCCGGTGCAAAACCAAAGTCAAAGCGGGCAGTGTAATTTGGAACAACATCATCTTAATGTCCACCGGATGACGGTGTATTCACTATGGTGGCATTTGGGGAAAGATACGATAGAACCCTGCCATATTGTGATAAGTGAGGTCTGAAATGTCTTCATTGTCTAAAATGCAGGGTTGGGTTATTTCCAGATAAATAAAATGAAGCCATGTTAAGGTTTGCAGCCAGCACGGGGAGATCCAGGCCGGACTGCAAATCCGAAATCTACACGGGCCCAGCTCAGTTTGGCGTTACCTGGTTCTCTGCTCCAGTCCCAATAAGGATGGAGATGAGTATGGGTGCTGTGGCTGCTTGGGACTCTGGGCAGTGGCAGGAGTTCCAGAAATCTCCTAGTTATTAGTGCACATTTCCTAGACCCAGTGTGGACTTTGGGGACCTACCTTCTAATTCCTCATTCCACAAGGAGGTCCCTGCCTTTCTCCTCCCAGCCCCTAAGAGAGTAGAAGCCATAATATTTCCCCCACCCCTCTTCTCTCAAACCCCCCTTCCACACCCAGCTCCACATTAAGAAACCAGATCCATCTGCAGCCAATTAAGCCGACCGCTCTCCTCCTTGTGGTGGCCAGCATGCAATTGCTGCAAACAGCAAGCTTCCTAGGTAGTATATGCAGCCTGTTGGTGTGTACGGGCTGCCCTAAGGGACCTTGGAGACAACCCTTCGCTGCTTTTTGTTGGCTCAGGCCTGGCTAAATTTTCTTCTCCGTAAATTAGACTCTAAACCGAGATGCGAGGTGCTTTGGGGAAACCCCAGGGCACAGTGGCTAGAGTCTGCATAGGCCAGGTCATCCTGCCCATCCACACCAAACTTCAAAACAAGGAGCCAGTGATTGAGGCCTTACACAGGGCCAAGTTCAAGTTCCCTGGGCACCAGAAGAGCCACATCTCCAAGAAGTGGGGCTTCACCAAATTACCTGCAGGTGAGTTGGTAGCTGAGAAGCACCTCATCCCGGATGGCTGTACAGTTAATACGTATATCCCTAACCTTGGCCCCTTGGACAATGGGGGCCTTGCATTCCTGCAGGCCTTGGTAGCTCTGTGCCTCACTTGTACCCACCAATAAAAATTGAACGTCAAATAAAAATTAAACTTCAAAAAAGAAAAAGAAACCAGATCCAGTCCCCAGTGGGCAGTTAGCTTTAGGTTTTACTGTATTTCTAGTCCAAAGTATAGAGCTTCAGTTGTTCAGCTCTTGTCTCAGTTGTTGAAACCATTTCCTGCCAGCATTGGCTTTTCAGAGCTCTGTTTGTTATTCGAAAGTCAATACAACTTCCGGTCCATAGAAGATATTTGCATTAACTCAGCTGGTTAATAAAGATCTAGGTGTTTCCCCCGCATTCTATTGGAACAGCCAGAAAACAAAAGAACAAAAAGGTAACAGATCTTTTGCTCTCTAAGTTTCACCTTTTCTTCCAAGGGTCTGTGCTGAGTGTTAACAGTGCGCCCGCCTTTGTGTCTCCTTCTAGAACAATAAAAGGAAAAGAAGCAAGTCCAAGCAGCATCAAGGTAACAAAGAGGCTAAAGACAAAGCAGAGAGGCCGGAAGCAGGGTCCCTACCACAGCAACCACCGCCACAGCTGCCAAACGGCCACTCACACGCAGGCGACAAGGACGGTGTGTCCACTGACTCCACCACCACCGAAAAGCTCGTGGGTCTTCCGCGTGAAAAAAAGATCTCAATACTCGAGGACCCTTCAAAGGCACTTCGTGGGTCCACAGGTGAGTCATTCTTAGGGGGACCAGCTGAGGAGGTGGAAGAAGTAAAAGCTGCCCTGCCGGGAGAGCCCAGCAGGGCAACTTGGCTTCTGGGTTTGTTGTTTCCTGAAAAACATACAAAGGGGCTTTAATGAGTTCCTGGGAAAATGGAGTTGATGATGGAATTTTTCCACAGATTTTGGGAAGCACCCCCACTCTAGCCCGTATTGAAGATCCCTAGTGGGGCAGCAGGTTAAGCATGCAGCACTAGCTAGAAAGTAGGCCACCCAAACCTCCCAGCAGCTCCGCAGGAGGAAGACCTGGCACCCTGCTCCCATCGCCTCCTATAAAGCCGTCCACTTGGATACCTTCTCAACAATGCAAACCCTAGACCCAGAGCCACCTTGTACTGACCACGTGATGGCACCCACCCCTCTTCGTTGGGATCACTGGGAAAACAGAAGCTCTTGTTTCAAGAAGTCCTCTTCCTGGCAGCCTTCACTGGAATTTTACTTGGGATAAGGGAGGGATGATGTGACCAAAAGAGATGTTACAAATGCTTTCCTTTCCTGAAGAGATAAGATATTTTAAGTCCTGCTATTTTATGGTAAAACATAATCTTCTAGGGTGTTAGAGTCGGGAATATTAATTATTTGTGCTATTGTTGTCCATTAATTAATCTGCACCGGGCTACTTTTTAATCAACTGTATAGCCTCAGGTGCAACCTTTCGTGTCTAGTGTTAAATTTCTCCTTTCTCCGTAATGAGGAAGCCACTGGAATCTTCTAAATCTGTGGTTTTCAACACTGTATACACTAATATCCCCTCTTTAAAAAAAATCATATAATACAATTCAGAGGTGATCTAGCTAGCTTTACTGAATCAGTCATTTTTTTAAAAACTCCCCTCACATTCAAAACATGCTGCTGACGGCCACAGTCAATGCAGAGGAGCATGGGAGTATGGGCAATAGTCAGGGCCCTGAAGGAGTCACACGCTGATGTCCTTGAAGGGGAGGCGGTAGGTATGTGGGTGAATTGGGGATTGGGGAAGGGAGAGGCCACCTTTGGCTGGGAGATGCAGGAAGATTTCATGGACAGTAGGTAGTGAAAGCCAATAGACTTGAGGAGGTAGAATGTAATTGGAGCATTAGAAAGAATTAGACAAAAACTTTACTGAACACGCTTGTATTTTGCATGCCTATGATGTACAAGGACGTACTATCCTTCAAAAAACCAAAGATGAGTAGAACCTGCCCCTGCCCAGGAGAAAGAGTTCACAAGAGAGGAGACGGAAGTACCATTGAAACTCACATGGTAACGCATGATAAATTCAAGGTGCTAAAACTCTAACCAAACCCAGTGCCATAGAGGCAATCCTGGGGGTAGGCAATCTCATCTTTCTCCCTGGGAGCATCTGGGGGTTTGAACCACCAACCTCATAGTTAACAGTCCAACACTTACCTGACAGCACTACCAGGATCTCTTCATGAGCTTTAACAAACTCGCTATGCGACACACTAGGAAGTCCCCCAATTGCTCACAAAGCACTAATTTTATTCCATAAGCACATTTCCTATCAGCTCTCATTAATAGTGCTGTAATTCCGATTAAGCTTACTGCACATGGATTTCTTAAAAACAAATGAACAAAAGAACAATAAAATAACCCGTTTCCATTTTGAATCAGAATTCTCTAGGAATTTTTGAATTCAATTTTTATTATGCCTACACTTTCAGGAGTGCTTTGATTTATAGCCAGGGCAGTAGAAAGGAATTAAATAATCGAGTGACAGATCTCCAACTTTGCTTGTTATTGCTTTCACATGAATTACTTTCAAAATCTAATTACTCAAGTTGCTGTTTTGATATCAATCATAGACTTAAAGCCGGGCTGTATATGTGTTCATTTATTTATAATTTATACCTTCTTCCTAAAACAATTTCAGTAACTCCATCAAGTCTAGGACATTAGAGCAAATGCAATATAGAAGCGCTTCGCTTCACAGTAGATAACCGCCTTGGAAGTTAAGAACCCATCAGGGTAATTCTCTGTGCAAGAGGGCTGTTGTGAACACTAACACCAAACTGTTTCGGAAGACTCCTTTATCGCTCAAAGAGCCATTCCCGGTCCCTTCCGTTTGCAAGTTTTGCAGGAAGGCCTTGAGGTCTGCCGTCGGTGTGCTTTGTGAATGTTACTGGCTCAGGACTAATCTCTGTGTGTGTGTGAAGATTTCTGTTAAAGAATGAACTCTGTCAGTAGAAGGTCATTAGATGTAGTTCACTAAAGGGAATGAATCCTCCTGGTTGGCCACTAGCTTCATTAGCAGCTCCCTTATTAGCATCATAAATTTAAAATGTGTTTAGAACTGCTCACAACCAACCCAGTTAAGTTTTTCCTTCACAAAGATAATAGAGGCCCATCAAGGAGTTGATACCAAGGCTGCCGAATGGCCTGTGGAAATGCCGCTGCCTCTGCGAGCCGTGCCATAGAGGAGCGCCAGGCCTTAGACTTGCCGCACCTCATTTTGAGCAGAATCTTGGAACTGGAAGGGGTGAGCCCTTTTAGCTCTTTGCTGCATTCTTTCGCTCAAGAAACCAAGGAGAGCAGAGTTCTTGAATGGCAGAGCTTGGAAGCTAACTCATGCCCCTCGAACCGCCCTCGTGGGTGTGGAAAAGCCTGACTCCACTGCATCTGATTTTGCACACCCCTGCAAAACGCGTGGCTAGAACCCTGGGCTCTTCAACTGCAAAAAATACACAGAATCAAAAATTAGGAATAAAGCAGTTTAAAGATCTTCTGTCCTTGAGTGGGTTCACAGTATGAGCCTAAAAGAAATCCCTGGTCTACCCGCAGTGAGCACTTACCAAGCTCTCCGATGATGAAGCCAGCTCAAGCAAGCCTGCTTTGCATGCCCAGCCGGGCAGCAGGCTGCGAACATGTGTGGCGCATGCGATCTTTTTATAACACCTTGACATTCAGGATCTCTCTAAGAGGCTAAAACAGAACCGTTTTCTGGTCGGGGAAAAGTTAGTTAGCTTACAGATCTATGCAGGTGGTTCAGGGGTGTGAGTGCGACTTCCTACACGAAAATTAACCACCAAAGGGAACACCCTTCAGGCTGTAAATAGAGACTGTCAAGTGGGACCAGGCGTGTGTCGGCGTGTAGCTGAGAAGTTTGGGAGTTTGTTTTAAGCTTAGTACAGAATCACTTCTTGAAGCATTGGTGTGTTTGGGGGTTTTTTTTGTTTTCAGAATTTTTAATAACAGCTCAAATGAGATATTTTATGTAATCGAATCTAGACAATCCTGTATGCAAGCATAGAGTTAAACAAGGAGTAGATCAAGATGTATTGCTACCAAACGTAATGCAAAGGATGTTTTTTAGCGCCAGGACTCTGCGCTTTGCACACTGTGTCTAGAGGGCCGATTTTCCCAGATGCCTTTCCTGCTGGGTGCATCTCGCGCAGCCACCTCCTGTCTACCAGTGGGGGTTTGTGTTGCCAGCAGGTGTGCATGGAGCTCGTAGACTGAGACAGAGTAAGAAGAAAGACCTGGTAAATTCCTGTGGAAATCAGTCCCTGAAAACCTCATGTACGGATCACAAGGATCTGACCTGAAACCCATCCTGGGCATGGTGCCCACCCTCCTCTGGTGCACGGAATCGCCAGGACTTCTCTTTAGCTGTTCTGCTGAAGGAGATGGGCACAGACAAGGAATTCAGAGTTCCATACTGCTGCTCACCCACTGGGCACAAGTCTCAGGAAGGGAGCACCAGCGCCGACCACCTTCTTCCGTTTCATTGAGATCAGCTCTGGGTTCAGCTTGTCTCTGGGTTCCCTTGCTGACCCCAGCACCCATCCTGAGATTCCTTGATCTGAGGAAGCCAGGTCTTCTCTTACCCACTATTTTTCTGTAACAGAAGGTGCCCTGCTGTGTTGGCTCATCTCCACCAGCCTGACGTCACCATCTGCCCTTTATCACAGAATCGGACCAGCCCTGTCCTTTCACCTTTGCGGAGCCGCATCTGTGGTTCAGTCCAACCCTGGCACAGAACCACCTTCCCGGTTCTCAAATGGAAGTGTGCCAAATGGGAAAGAAAGGGTCTTGTTCTTTCAGAATGTTGGCTGCTTGTCCCTCGGTGGTGTTTCCTGTCCTCCCTCCGTCTCCCCCACACCAGAAAAAGAAACCGCTGGACGCTTTCATGGTCTTTTTGTGGCTTGAGGTTCCCTGCAGACTTTTCCAAAGAGCATTCTTAGGCTGCTCTGAGCCCAAGCTTCAAGATTATCTCCCCTGCTCCTCTAAGCCCTACATTGGGCCCGAGGATCAGAAAAGATCAACAAGAAAGCAACTAGCTGAGAGCGTTCATAGGAAAGCCACATGTGTATGTGCCCGGAGGACGGGGCCCAGCTTTCAAATGGAAGCTTAAAAATCAAGGGCTTGGATTAAAACCCCGGCCGTGTCACTTGGTCGCTGTGCCGTGTCACTTGGTCGCTGTGTAACCGTGGTCACAGTCACCCTCTGTGTCTCTCAGTAGGAACTAGAACTTCTGCTTTCCAGACTATGGTGAGCAATAAATGAGATAAGAGAGGTGGGCAGCACAGAGAGCCTCGGGCACACAGGAAACCCTCGAGTCATTGATTTTCCTAGCTGGCAACTATTCTTACGCATCTCCCTGTGCCAGGAATCATTCTGGGGAGTGTGAACACGGGCAAGGAGGCTTTTCCCTCGGGGGGGTTATCATCTATTGTGGGTGTGTGGATGGAGGAGCGAGGGCAGACAGTAAGCCAGAATACATTGGAGTTGCCCAGATCATTCTAGATTAGGATGCAGGTTGTGAAGGGATAGCAAGTGGAAGAGTGGCCTGGGGAGGAGGACAGGACACGCTGTGCCTTCAGGCCAGACCCTCCCATGACTCAGGAACCTGAAACGGACGTGTTCAAATGAGGCCCCGTGCTTTTCTTCAGGGTTCCCTGCCGGTTGTGGTGCTCGGAACAAGCCAGTGAGGTCTTTGAACGCTCAGCC